TACATAGTGTTGGGGTCGGATTTCACCCGCTCGACGTTGAAGTCCAAAGCTATGCAAGCGCAGCGCATAGATACAGAATCGCATCAACATATAGATATTAGATGATTCTCCCAAGTCATTTTCTAACAAGAAGATGAGGTCTTTCGTCTTTCCTTAGTCTTCTCCGACCAAGAAGGGAGCCTTCTGAGTCCTCTCTATTCGCAGCAAAAGTCGTGAATGCAGTGCCAACAAAGTCACAGTGCCAGCGAGGTGCAGTGCCAATGAGGCTAGCGAGGTGCAGAGCCAGCGAAGGCATTGTGACTGCGATGTCACACTACCAGTGATGACGTAGTGCCAACGATAACACTGGCCACCGAAGACCTGCCAGAGTAATGACAAAGACCAGAAGGTTCCCGACGCTAAAGCCCGGTCCAGTTACGAAGCCCACTTTGATACAACCGACGTGAAGAAAAGGAAATCTAAGAAGACTTAGAAAAGTTAACATTGTCTTTAGGAAATAGGTCTAGCCGACTTAGGGAGATATATACATCAATGTACAAACCCTTGAAGAAGGTATCCGCAACTTTATTCACAAAAGCATATACAGCAATAACAAACGTTTCTCTTTGCTCATTGTTTCGTTCGTAGCTTAACCTAGAAATATCTGTTTCCTCATGAAACCCTTACAAAGCTAATTGTGCTAGTTTCGACTCCCACAATTTGGCGCCGTCTAAGGGGACCGAGAGACTTTCTCACACAAAAAAGCTACGTAACACACCAGATCTGAGAAGATGAGCGGCGAAGAGAACAAATCGAGCAGCAGCAGCGAGGAGTCCTCGGCTCGCAAAACCAACCAAGAAGAGGAGAACTCTGTCCAAATCTCCGCTGCCGACGTCACCGATAACCCAGGAGACATGACCGAGGTCAAACAGATGCTGGAAACGCTCCTCAGAGAAACGCATGAGCAAAAAAAGTTCAACGAGGCAACTACAAACGAGCTGAAAGCTCTTTCGCGAAGAAAGCGCGAAAGACCCGAAGTCACAGGACTCAGGGGTCGCTTCGACCCGCATCGCCTCAATTTCTCAACACCTCGTTCTACTCGAAGGGATCAATGCGACTTACCGCTACCACCGCCACGACGGGAATCTGACATAACTCCCAAACGCTTCGAAGGGGTCTCGGACGAAGATCAACCAACTCCTCAGCGACGCGCGCAAACGGAGGATGCGAGTGGTAACCTAAAGGGAGCGCACGCCCCAGACAGACAAAGCGTGTCGTCTTCTTCCCGAACCGAACCCATGCAAGGTACTTCGGAGTATGATGAATACCGCAACATCGACGAACGCGGACCCTCAGTAGCTGAGCATTACAAGAGGGAGCAGGAGCGTAGGGCGTTCAAACGATCTCGGAATACAGAAATAGCTGAGATACCAGCTCTGATGGAGCGAGTCGTCTCTGATCTGAAGACAACCCAATCGCAGATATATCGCGGCACGGGGAAAGCTCCTAAAATTGCCTATGTGCTCGATAAAGCACGGAACACACCCTTCGCCGAACAGATCGCGAGGACTAAAATCTCTGATCCCGGAAGAATTAAGCTGCCAATCTACGAAGGAACCACAGACCCTTCGAACCATCTGATGGAGTTCGAGGTCGCCCTAGGGAGGGCGA